TAATCGTGACGCGAGCAGACATTGTAGGTTAATGATTACCAGGCGCCACGAACATCTTGCTTCTACGTACGATTCTACAACCAGCGGAAAATGTTACAATTTTACCTACCTATGGTATGTGTTCGATAATGCTTAAACTCTATTGCATTTCATCAGTTAAAATGGAAGAATCTCTGTTTCTGTTTCTTGTAAAAACACGAGGTTATGTACGCGTGTATAAACGTGTTGCAATTGGAAGAGGATTTTTTTTTTTATGGAAAAATAATATGAAAATATTAAATCTGTTTTCGTAGAATGTTTTTTTTTTCTTTTTCTTCTTCTTCTTTCGGTTTGTCGAGGAAAGTAGGATAAATTCGAGAATATAATACGTTTTTTTATTACGAACGAAAAAATTAGAAAAATTAGGGGAAGATAGCTACTATGCTTGAACTATGAAGCTTAAAATGGGAGTTTTCCTTTCGAAAATTATTTGGCTGGAGGGAAAAAAGAGGGAAAATTTTAGAATAACCGGTTTCTCGTAGTATTTAGAAGAATATTAAAATTTGTATTTGTGCTAGTTAAAGGAATAAGTTGAATCGTGAATTTTCGATGTTACTTTTTTTTTTTACGAATATCCTGTGGATTTTGAAGTTTTTATTATTACACAAGTTATTATTTATCACTTTCTTTCCAGATATTTCATCATTTCTGGTGTAACACCCTGTATGAAAATCCAGCTACGGGGACAACGAGTAAAACTTGTGAAAAGTTTTAAATCGCAAACTTTTGAAAAATAAAAAGTAATTTAACTACAAGATAAAAAAATATCGCGAACCTGAAAATTAGGGCGATTCGTACGTTTTGTTCCGAGAAATTTAGTCAAAACAAAGATCGAATTACATCGTTTATTACAATATCTATCTGCAAACATTCCAGATTTTTTTATAATCCGAATTACGTGGAATAAAGTATATTCTTTATCTATGATTTACTTTTAATAAGATTAAACGTGTCCATGCTCTTTCATGCTTTTTTTTTTTATTCAAATAATCACGAAAATTTTTCAATATTCAATTTACGATTGTGCGATAGAATTCCATTTATCCGAGCTCTGATTATTGGAAATTTTGGTCAGTGCTCGATTAGCCGAACCTCTGCCGATTGAATCTACTTATCTACGTGAATAAACGTGAATTCCTATTACGCGAGCCTGTTTGTATCCCAATGGATTAATAGAATTCTACCGTACAATAAACGTATTGTACGATAGAATTCCATTTATATAATTCCACTTACATCCACTTGTAAATTTCCTATCTCTTTCCACGGATCGAAATCACGGCTCGATCCTTTTCGTTTCGTACTGCGAAATATTTTCAACCTGCCGATTGATCGAAACAAAATCGAATCGGCGATCTCTTCGCCGCGATGAAAGCCTGATTATAATTCATGGTTAATCAGTCGGTAAGGAAAATTTCTTTTTGAGCGAAACGAACTTGGACCAAAACTTACTTTACGAGCAAAAGTGCGCTACGTTAATTTTAATCGAAGAAAACGGCCACTTTATACGTTATACGATCTATAACGGTTTAAAGTTGAAAGGACGACGAGACGAGAGGTGAAGAGGTACTGGGAACGAGCGACGTTTCGCAGCGGTTCGAGTTGAAGCGAATGCTAATTGCTCTCAAGTTAATTGAGGGTACTAAGAACGAAATTGTTATATAAGTTTGCCCAGCTACTACTCGGCCCGGCAAACAAAGTGGACAATTGCCCTTGGGCAAGCGTTCGTACGTGCTTCATCCGAGTCTCGGTGTTGTCCGCGATACGACACGCGAGACAAGAAACACATTCGTTGTCTATGCTGTCGTCTAGCGTTTCGAACATGGATCGATGAGGATCGATTATCGTTAGACACTCAGTTGCGAAAAAAATATCAATACTCTTCATCCGTTGTCACTGCAAGTATTGTTGACGAATGGTACACGAAACATTACATATTGCACGTTACATTGATAAGGATCAACGAATTACTATTAAATACTCATAACTGCGAAAAAAACATCGATGTCACTCTTCGATATCTTATCACTGTTAAAGCATCATCTAGCAACACGGGATATCTACACATATATACTCGACAATGATTCGACAATGCATCGATAAGGATCGACGAATTATTACTAGACATTCACAATTGCAAAAAAAAATATTAATATACTTCATCCGTTTCCATTATCGAAGTATTGTTGACACATCACATACGATGCTTCGACACTGCATCGATAAGGATCGACAAATTATCACTCATAGTTGCAAAAGAAATATTAATTCTCTTCTCATTTGTTGCCATTGTCGAAGTACTGTTGACAATACGAAACATTACATACTCGACAGTGCGTCGACAAGGATGAACGAATTATCACTAGATACTCACAGTTTCATATTCTTCGTCTGCAGAAATATTAACGAATGGAAACACGAAATATTATTCGATCGATAAGGATCAACGAATTAATATTAAACATTTATAAATGCGAAAGAAAAATCGATGTCATTCTTCGATGTCATTTTACAACTATCGCTGTCAAAATATCATCTAGGAATGATACACAACACATCGCGCGTTAAATCGACAATATTTCGAATTATCATCAAACACTCATAGCTGTGAAAAAAATATCTATACCGCTTTTCATACTTCCACTGCCATTGATAAAGCATCGTCAACTTAGCGTGTGATGTTCCCATCCATCGACGATCGATGAGGATCGACCAACATTCATACGAAAGAATATCAATGCTGCTCCTCGATTCGTTCGTTGTCACTGTTCGTCATCAATCGAAACGTTACCACTAAAAATTCGTAGAAAAAAATATCTTTTCGTAAATTAATATTAATATATAATACACTTTTATATCAAAGATTCATCATTGTTGATGAGAATTATTGTAAGTGAATTATTAATTTTATCTACAAACTACATTGGAAATAGTTTTCTTATTAACAATGAAAAAACACAATTAAATATTAATAGAACGTTTTGATTCGAGTCAAATCAAATCCTCTTCATCGACAGATGAACCTATTTTCGATCTCGATAATAACAGATACACGCAATTACCGTTCCTATTTTGTATATACGCGGTAGAGAAACGAGAGATGGAAATGGTATTTAAGATGCAAAGTCACGCGCGATACACTAGCTGTTCCATCGATATATCGTAGTTCTATATGCGTTTCTACTCTGCTCTGTCCTTTTAACGTACGCGAGAGATCGAAATGCTTTAAGACGCAGATTTACATGGATACATTTGCACTGTAAAGCGTGCTTCCTGAAGAAACAGTTAGCTGCGATTTTGGTTCCAAAAAATTTTGGTTTCTCGATTTGATCCAAATCTTACACGCTTCGTAATAAAATGCTAGGATTTTCATAGTTTTATTACAGGCTTATTCTGCGTACGTTCAAATTCGATTTAAAAAAAACGTTCGATATACCGATATTTCTCGTTTGAGTTATCAAACGTGTATCAGACGTGTATATAGGCATTTATGTTTTGAAAGGATTTTTCTACATAGATAACTTGCGGATAGATTTGTAGGATTTATCCAGAAAGGCAATAATATTTTCGCATCGTTTCGAAATACGGTAATTCTTGAACAACAAGATTCCTATTTTCAAAGATATGAAATTCCAAGACAGAACGAAAGATCGAATGAGGCAAAAGGCAAACAACAATCTATGAAACTCGGTTAACTCGAAACGAAACTCTCCACGATTATGCACAACCTTGCCGAATGAAAGTTGTATCTCCGAGTAAAAGTCTAGCATCGAGGTATCTCGACAACAACAATAATCTCCGCCAAACTCCCTTTTCTTTCCCACTTTCTACCGCTCTCGAATCAAATATTCATCATTCACGCCTCCACGCCTCCGCCACCCAAACACTCCCTCCTCGTTCGCTCGATAAAATTCCAACGTTCCCTTCTCCTCAACGATATTCCACGTTCGTGTTCTCGCTTATAAACCTTCTTCCTCCGTAGGCTAATTTTCCACCGAACCATCCCCCATTGTTCCCGAGTCGAAGAACACGAAAATGATCGGTTTCACGCTCCTATCCAGGAGGTTAATGCAACATTTCCGGCCAGGAAGGATCAAAACACCGGTTAATTCCGGCCAATTTCGTATTCTCGTTGCATATCAAACCCGGTCGATGTTTGGTTCGCAATAAACACCACTGCTCGCACTTTAATCCCCCTCTTTCCTTCACCCTCGTTTTCGCCTATTTCGAAACCAGTATCCCACTAATCTTCGATCTATGATCCCGTGCATACGTAAGAAACGAACGCCTCATGCAACTCCGCCATTTCAACTCTGCACTCCGCAGAGATCCATTTACCGATCGATGCGCCAAAGGAAAGGTTTCCATTAACCAAGGCGTACCAACCAAGGCGTGTTAAATCTCTATACGTATAACTGTTTCATCAGCCCGGGTGGCGCATATATCGGGATACATTGCGACTGGCCAATTGCCGTCACGATCGAAAGGTGGGGACCAAGCTACTTACTTACCTTACACGGCAATCCCGTGTGTACATCTGGATGGCCTGACCCGTGCATCAACGCGCATTATATTGGCAACGAATCAATAATACCTACGCATACGCGTTACGTTGCTTATCACGTGCATGTCTTTGTGTCTGTGTAAATTTACCATGTGTGCACGTTATATTATATTCACGTATTACGTGAATATATGTGACACATAGGATGGTAGGATGGTAGCTCGAAATGACTGCGTGTAAAATAATTTCTTCTTTTTTTTTTTGTCGGGAATCGAGTTTGGAAATCGGTGAAATAGAGGAAAAATTTGGCTAATTCCTGATTGGATATAGGCGAAATATTGATAGAAATATCGAATCATTTTAAACGCACGAGAATAAACGAAAAATATAAAGTTTATTCAGAGAAAACAAAACATGAATATTCGTCGAATATCTTACACTTTTGTTCTTTTTTTTTTTTTCTAAATTTTAATTCAATGATCCATTTGAAGATTATTCCGATCAAAAATCATCCAAATGTTTTTTTCCATCGTTTTAAAACAATTTTTTCAGAAATCATTCGAACAAAAAGAAATATCAATCCCTCTAATATCGATTCTTACTCTTGTACTCGCGTATATTCTATATATATATATACATTCTATTTCTATCACGACGCCGATGTGATATCGCGTCGCATCTGCACGGAAATTTATGCAAAGCAGCCCCGCTTGAATGGGGAACTCTCGCGAGGGCGAGCAGGAGAATGAACCCGATTCCGTGACCCGCCGATCCTCGGGAAACAATAAATCTCGGATAACGATTGGCAACGGAGAAGAGAATCCTGGCCGGGAATACTCTTCCCTCACCCTTCTCCAAAGGTAGATACCAGGCTGGAATCCAGGCCCCCTGCGGCAAAGAAGCACAACCGGAATTCGTAAAAACGAGGAAGGGACGACTTTATATTCTATCGATTTTCCATGATTTTCAACGAGTCCAATTCCGTTAATAATATACGCGTGATGTTTAATATATTTATCATCGTGATTAATATTTTGATTTTCTACTTTGGATGATTCTTGGCGGAAGAATTATACTTCGTTAAGGGATAAATCATGATTGAATGTTGTGTAATAGCCTGTGAATTAGAATTTCGATTCGTTTGATTTTTCGAGTTTTTAACGAATCCAATTATAATAAATGTTAATAATATATATGTATGTGTATGTTTTATATATATATATATATACTTTTATTTTCTTTTTATTTTTTTCGTATTAAATTCATTATGATCAAAGTATTTCTTTTTAATAATAAGCTTCCATTCGCCATGGAAAACGATTAATAATAATAAATTTAATAGATCAAATTTGTCATTCGTTTCAATCGGTGAATGAGTGAGAAAATTGTAGATCAGCATCTATTTGTAACAAAATATTTATAGAGCAACAAAATATTTATAGAAGTACTTTAAAAATTTATTTTAATTTTATTATTTTAATATATATAGGACAAGTTGTGCGTGATCTTATTGTTCAAACGATGCATGCATTTATTTATTCAATTCAAACAAACAGACTCAAAGCGATTCGATATTACGTATATATTTAAAATTTCATAAAAAAAAATTGCCAAGCATCTAGCAAAAAATTCATCGCATGCACGAATGAATAAACGTTAAGCCATTAATTCTAAGGGTTAAACGTTTACACACAGATGATAAAGCCGGATACGACACATTAATTTGATCGATGATATCATTTTGCAATGTAATTACGAATTCTAGCGACAAGATCTAACAACATCTAACGTCCCTTTTAAAAGTGTCGTTATAACTAATAGCCACGGACACGGCATAGAAATTAATAAGATAGAATAACGGAAAACGTGGGACTGATTGCGTTTTTTAATCTAATTAGGAAGTCACGAGTCTCGATGCGCATTAAATATCGCCCCGTTGGCCGTGAGCGTGCACGGAAATTATTTTAGATAACAGCTATTCTAAATTAAACTAAATAACGTCGGGATAAATGCAAATTTTAGTTTATCCGTAATAACTATCTACCCTACCTCTTCTTTTTATTTCCATATCCAGTCCTCGTATCCTTCCAACTCGTCCTAATAACGATGTCTGTAACAGACTTACAGACCTCTTTCCTTTCATTCCTTCTTCCTTTTCTCGCGCGTGTGTATCCCCGCTCTAATAACAATTTTACCACCGTTTCGTTCATAAATCACACCTCGTGTCGCGGTTTATAACCGCGAGAAGAGCGTTTCCTTTCGATATTCGAATCGCGAATCCCTTCTGGCCAATTCGAACAATTTCTTTCTCTCTCTCTCTCTCTTATCGCGTCGATTTTTAAATTCCGTCTCTCGTCCCAATTTGAAACCATGAGAGAAGGAGGAGGAGGAGGAGGAGGAGGGAACAAAAATCAATAGACACGCGGATTACGCGTGTAATAAACATTTCCTTGTGAAAATATTTCAGCGTATACTGGTGGATGGAAAAATAAAAATAAACGTCGGGCAATTTTGGCGCTTTTTAAAACGTTTTACCTCCGCCATTCCTTTTCTCTCTTTCCTTTTTTCCCCTCCGTTCTTTTTCCCTCGTTTCCCCGTTCTCCTTGCTCTGGTCAAACTTTACATCCGTATCACGCGGAATTACGATTGCGCCATTTAAAAATTCGAACAATAGATTTTTATAGGTGTAATCCCGGACTCGGTCGAGCGATGGAACGAGATGGTTTCGAATTGGGAGGAGGGGGGGGGAGGTGAAAAGGACGGAGAGGAGGAGAGAGAGAGAGAGAGTAGAGAAAAAGAAGGAGAAAGAAGGGATTGGGAAAACACGCGGTTAAACGTTAACGCGAACGATCCTTTCGCGATAAAGGCGCCACGTTTGCTCGATTTATCACAACTATTTGCATTCGTCCCGTTTTATTACCCGTGAAACGATTCTCTGCCCTCTGTGCCGGGACTTTAACGGGCCAATTAACGCGACTGGCGGCGATCAACCGCAAGAAATAAGTGCGCACTCCTCCATTTCCGCCGTGCGAACGATTTAATCAACACTGACAAATAATTGACAAATAAATGTTGATTGTTTACGTAATCGTTATCCAACAGTCGACAAAGAATCGTCAATTTTCGAAAAAGATCCATTCAAGAAATAGATCTCTTCGTTGTACGTTGATTAGTGATAAAAAAAAGAAAAAAAAAAGGAAAGGAAATATTCGAAACGCGATATAGGAGAGGAGGGAAATACACGAGGGAAGAATCTTTGATGTTCGTGTAACGAGAATCGCGGATATATAAATATTTAAAAGAAACGCATCGATCAATCGAAAATTTCGCGGAATTTCGAGTGCATAACATCACGAGCGCGATAAACGATTGTGAGAAATGATACGTTGGATTTGGGTATCGCTCGTTATTTCCGTGAAACATTCAATTTGTTCGTTACATTACAAGAGTGCGGGAAATCAAGCGGATCATTTTATTTGTTGGAGAGCGTTGTTTTCCTCGGTTTTAATCCGTCTCGTGTAAATTATAATCGAGGAAGACGCGAAGAAATTAACGACCGTGTATATTCCTTTGATCCATTCTTCTTTCATAAATTATTATATATTTTATTTCTCTTTTCTTCTTCTTCTTCTTCTTTTTTTTTTTTTTTGTTAATTTTTACTCATATTCCAAAGGGAAATTTAAAAATGGAAGAAAGGAGAGGGAGGGAAAAAATGGAGTGGAAAAGGGAGAATTAAAATTCGCGATATCAAAAGGATCCGCGGTCTCTTTTAATATGCAAATCGGTGAAAAGCGGCGCGCGGTATTCCGCGGTATTTCTTCAATCTTTTCAAGAATGCCATACGAAACGAAGGCAATTTGTTATAAATCGGACATAAGTTCTTTCGCGTTCTCGAATGCATACGAAACACGTGAAAACAGATCGCGAATAATGTTGGCGTGGTTTGGGGAAAGGATCCACGCTCGGGGATCGTTTACCTTAAAAGATGATTTAAAAACGAACGCGCAACCGTTACCGGAAAAATCAGAAAAATATACGAATTTGTATTTTACGCGAATTTCTTCTATTCTATAACTTTAACTTTAACTAATCATTGATCAGAAGAAATAATAGAATTGTAAAGATATTCAGAATTGTCGATATTTTTGTACAACGCATTAAAATTCACGGCAATAATTTTCAGAATTATATCACGTCATCTTATATAACTTAATTAAATTAAGTTACATAAAAGTTAAATTTATATTTTATATTTTAAAGAAATTTCGCCTTTTTTGTTTGCCTATTTTAACTCCTTGCCTGGAATCGTCGATCAGAAGGAATAATAGAATTGTAAAAATATTTTTGTAGAACGCGACAAGTAATAATTTTTAGAATCATATTACGTCTCGATTATTACATTAAGTTAAATTTTGTATTTCATATTTTAAAAGAAAATTCGCTTTTTTTCTTCATCCACTTTTTCTTTGTACGTTCCACAGGAGGACTGGAAACCTCGCAAGGATGCGGGACCGGCTATCGTGGTACATGGTCTTTCTGATCCTGCCGACAATTCTCCTGGCCAGGTCGCTCGATAAAGGTAAATAATTTTCTCCGAGCATTTAACCTGCCTTCTTCCTCGTTCACCGTATTTCCCAGCGAGGATATAAGATCTTTTGTACTTCTTGGCATCCGTTTTACCCGATGCAATTCTGCCTTTCCCAGTTTAATTTCACCGAATGCTTCGAGGTCCGGGATACAATCCAGTTAAACGACTTAATTAATAATCGCTTGATTCGGTGAGATTTGATCGAGAATGATGGTGTATGGACAGATAAAAAAGTGAAATTCGGCATGATGATTGTTTCGAAATTGTTTGAAAGGAATTTGTATAGAAATATGGAGAGTTAAGGACGATTATCGATAATCGAAGATATACGTAAGGAATTTCAATCTTTAATAATTTTACGTATAGAGTAATTTTTTTTATATAACAAACAGAATTGTTATATATATTGAATTAAAAAATAAAAAAAATTAATATCATAAGTTTCATTATATCGGTAGAAATAAATCTTTTTGCATAAAAAAATTTGTATATCAAATAAAATATTCCTTTACAAGTTTCTTTTTCTTTCTCTCTCTCTCTCTCTCTCTCTCTTTTTCTCTTTTATAACATTTTACGGAATGTTGAACTCAAAGAAAAAATTAGAATAATGTAAAACAATTAGTTATTTTTCCGATAATATGTAAATAAGATACGTTTATATCTTATTATGAAACATATATTAAATTACATTGAATCTTGTTTTTTATCCTGGAAGAAAAAAAATGGATTAAAGTATTAAGACTTTAATTCCCTTTAAAAAGGTATTTTGCGACGTTTCTTTTCCTCACCCTTCATTCTATACGGTATATTGAAATAAAAATTTACATTTATATTACTCATATTCTCTCTCTTCCTCTCCGTTTCCCAATATGTATGTTAGAATATTAATTCCCTGCTAACGCGTTTAAAAAACCTTTATTTCACACTTCGTCCGTTTCACACTCATATAAATGTGTTTCGCGATCTAATCTCGCGAACATTTCAAACACGTTAATCTCACATCTGATTTGTCAAAATTTTCTTTCTCGGATCTTCATTCATCATCATCATCGTCGTCGTCGTCGTCGTCGTCGTTCCCATTTCTCAAGAAAATGATTTATATTCACGACAACGAACGTTGTCCCGAGGGGGAGTTTCGTGAAATAATATTCAAAACATTCAACTAAGAGCTATCTATATTACACCCGCGTAACGCTAGTTGGAGGACGTATTAACTCGTATAATCCTTCGGCTGTCGGATAAAGCGTTTATCGAAACTTCGTTGTTCGAAATTACGCTTCCCATCGGATCTTAGAATCCGGTCTTTCGCTTCGTGCTTCCTCCATTCGTGGAGGCACATCTTTCGCAGGAAGAGAGAGAGAGAGAGAGAGAGAGAGAGAGAGACTGGAACGAGACGTCTCTATTCGAAATCCCCGTTCGTGCAAGAAGTCAAGCAAGTACGTCAAGCGGACTTTAACGCGATTAAGTACGCATTAGATAAAGCTTACGCTCTTGGCGCGCGATAAGTAAATGGGACACGAGATTCTTTTTCTTTTTGGGGGGGAGGGGGGGGAGGAGAAGGAGGAAGGGAGAGATGAAAAGGGATAAATACGGAAGCGCGTTGACAAGCGCAAGTGTGGAACCGAAAGTGTGAACCACGGCACAAAACAAAGTCGTTTTCCAAGAAAAACTCTCCGCCCCTCGGAACGATATTGTGAAAATTGAATGAATAATAAAAACGCGTTATGTAAAAGAACGATATATGGGGTATATACAAAGTGATTTGCCTCTAAGATAATTTCAATCTACAGAGTTTTTAACAAAAAAAATATTGATCAATCGGCATGGTAGATTCGTCGAATGAAACGAGTGGTTGATCCAATCACAAAGCACGTCGAGGCACGATGGTGATGGTATATCTACATGCCAAGCGTTGATGTCCCTGAAGAACGGAATGAAAAGAAGAAGAAGAAAAAATATAAGGAAAAATGCCCCCAACCTCACGAAAAATCCTCTTCTCGACGAACACTTGAGATCCACCGATGAAAAAAAGTGGCTATGAATTGGGAATACTTAAAAGAAGGAAAGAAAAGAGTACAATCCTTGCCAACTAACTGGTCGAAGCAAAGTAGAAGCACCTTTTCCCTCGTAGACCCCCGGCTTCTTGTCTCGTTGTATAAGGTTTCGCATTGTCTCGTGGAAACAAAAGGCAGGTAGCTTATGCCCTGCATTCAAAAAGCTCGCAAACTTCAGTCTCAAGTGCTTGTCTTTTGCCTAGACCCTTCCATCACCTTCCAACTTCGCCCTCTCCTGCCCCCTTGCTTCCCTTCCACGTTCCTCAATTTCTTCCCCTCCCTTTCCATTTACGGATTTCTATATTTATCAACGACGAGTTCGCGTGGTATCTCGTACTTTTCCCTATTCTTCGTTATTCCCTTTACCAGACTTCACTTTCGAATTATCCCCCCCCTGTATTTATCCATTTCTCCCCGATCCACGTTTTAAAACCGTGTCTTCCTTCTTCGACTCTTGTGACTCTTTTTTTACCGATCCTCCTTTTGTCCCTTTTTTTTCTTTCTTTTCTTAATTTTCAATTAATCGCCATGTTCGCGAAACGCGGAGAAACGTTCGTGAAACGAAAAAAGAAAGAAAAAATGATATCTCGAATTAGACGCAGAGAGAGTTGAATTCTTATTATGGGGGAATGAGAAAAATAAACACGATGAAAGTTCAGCCGAGCGATCCAATAGGTAAAGCATTACTACGACAGAGGAGAGATTCGACTCGAAATCCCAAGTCGACAATCTGATCCACCTATTCTTTTCCGCGCTGCGATCCTCGAAAGCTTCCCGCTTTGACGTTCAGTTTTTCAAAAACAACATTCCTAAGTAAACTCTCGAACCATTTTCCTCGTGCCACCGAGCGCAGTCGAAATAAAATAAAAGTCTAAAACGGTGAAATTAAGCAAACGAAAGATGTCCCATTTCAAACACCATTTCACTTCAAACACCCTCGATCCCTTTCCCATCCTCGCACGATGGATATAAAAAATTCATTTATGAAAATCTCGAATATTGTATACCTCTGTATAAAGTTTCGATTCGAAAAATTAGAAGAATATCGATTCGATATTCAATCGTAATTGAACGAAGGAAGAATTGATTGTTAAAGATTTTTAAAAATTTTTCGAGGATGCAATATTCGTTCTTTTTTTTTTGTTTTTTTTTTTTTTCAAGAAAAAGAAGAAACTTTTTAAACCGAACTTTGGAAATTTTTCCGAAAGAAAATTTTTTTTCAGATCGACGCGTCCCGTACAGCATACCGGCAGACTGGAAGGCGTTGTGGTTCAGCAATCTGGACGATCTGCAAAGAGTGAACGATGCGAACGACAACAACACCGTCTCGAACGTTACCGTGCAATTGGGCGGGACCGCGTTTTTGCATTGCAAAGTTCGCAATTTGGCAGACAGAACGGTATCCGATGCTGAGGTGAGTGACTTTCTCTTTGCGATCCCCTCGATGCGCTTCTACTTTCTGTTTTCTTAATTACAATTACGTTTCTCTTCTTCTATTTGCCCTCTCTAACGCTATTTAATTTATTTCCTTAAACATCCACTTGTATCATTCGATATCAAAAATCAGTGTTCAATAGACGTAGAATATTTCGATACGCAAGTAATATCGAAAACCGTAACACTAATGTCAAAACTAAACGTGTACGCAAAAATCGGTTAACTAAAAATTCGTTTCCACCTTTTGCATATCGTGAAAACTATGATCAACTTACGTGTCACTCGCCGTAGAATCCTCAAATTTCGCATGCTTCGCATCCTTGCACGCGTATCCTTCTGGATAGATATCCTTCTGAAGCATAATAAAAGCCGAATGAAAGCTTACCGAGAAGCTTAAAAAGTACGCCAAGTTGAGTAATATCCTTCAAAGATACCCGTTGGAATAAATCGCACTCCGTATCGAGCAAAGCGAGAGAAAAGTGATGGCACTATCGCGCGCCTGTCCACAGATATCCTGGATACGGCGACGTGACTTCCATGTGTTAACCAGCTCCACGTTCACGTACACGAACGACGAGCGGTTTCAAGTTTTGCATCCCGAGGGCTCGGACGACTGGACTCTTCAGATCAAATACGTTCAGGACAGAGACAACGGGACCTACGAGTGTCAGGTAATAGTCAGCGAATAATTATCGCCCGAGGAAATTGTTTTAATCGCTCGTCTTCGATCGTTAACGCATCCTCTCTCTCTCTCTCTCTCTCCTCCTCGTGGAGAAGAGAATTCCTCCGTGAGGAATTCATTGCGCGAGGGGTGAAGTTGCACGTTGTTTGGCGCAACGTTATCGCGATCCTCGAGCGGAGGGAATCGATTTTAATGAGAACTCACGGCGAATTTGGCCGGGGATAGATAAACGAGGTGTTTAGGTGAATTTGTTGCTTCTAAAGTGAAATGGATAGGATCTTTCGTAGATGTACAATTGGAAACTTAATGGAAGTTATCCGAAAAGATTAATGGAAAAGGAGGAGGTGGAATTCCGCGAGATAAGTTTTATCCGGGAGGGGAAACGAACGATTTTTCCTTTTACCTTCTTTTTTTTTTTTTTCACCTAATAACTATATATTTAAAGTATGCTCGAACTATGTTTATCGATGAAAGTATATAATAGCTCGTTTTCCATTACAGGTCTCGAGGAGTACAGGGATATTATCGCACTTTGTCAATCTAAACATAGTTATACCAGAAGCGTTTATATTAGGGAGCGGCGAGCATCACGTCGACGTAGGATCCATTATAAATCTCGTGTGCATAATAGAAAAGGTGAGAATCGGTTTTTTTCTTTTTTTAATCCCGTTTCATTCATTCCGACGTAATAAAAATTCCATTCTTCAACGTCTCGGAATGATTAATGCAGTCTTATTCAATTTTTTTTCCTCGTACGGTCGTACGAGGTATCACCACTCCCCCCTCCCCTTCTTTTTTCTTTTTCTTTTTTGCCGTTTCTTCGAAACGGGGCAACCACGACCGACCGGCACGTATTGAAAATACCAGTACCGGTATTTCATCGTGCAAAATAATAAAATGTATACGGTGGCGAAAATTTTTCTATCAGCTGCATTGATACCGGTGCAGGAGAAATAATCGTGTCGCTCATATACAGGCCGGTGGGATAAAGGCACGTCACGGCGCAGTCCATCCGCTTAACGAAGGTACATAGAAACGTATAGCTTGCAGTTCGCGGGGAGCATTCAATGTACGGTACCTTCGTACCGTAGCGTAGAGCGG